AGTTCAGAAATGTAAAAATACAAGAAATGTCTGTGCCTCAAATTTAGGACACTTAAGACATGTCATACATGCAGCATATTTGTTTGCATCAAATAAATCATAGAATTATTGATTACTTGGGCTGTTTTTTATACCCTAAAAGGGCAACGTGAGACACAACTCCAAAATCCAAAATATATTACAAAAATTCCTTTGAATTTGTTTGACTTAAGTCCAGATGATATAAAAAGTGACATGAAATGATTTTTTTGCTGATCATTTTTCACTCTTGCCTGTTTTAGGGTTAAATGATCAGAAGTTAAATGACGCTTAAAAATAGTCTTATATGCTCACCAAGGCTGCATTTATTTGCTCAAAAATTCAGTATAAAATGTGAAATATTAACTTTCTCCTGAGTGAATCTATTGTAAATTGTAATGTATTTCTGTGATGCGCAGCTGTATTTTCAGCATCATTCCTCCAGTCTTCAGTGTCACGTGATCTTCAGAAATCAGTATAATATGCTGCTCAAGAAACATTTCTGATTATCATCAATGTTGAAAACAGTCGTGCTGCCCAATATTTTTGTGGAAACTGTGATACATTTGATTCCTTGATGAATAAAGTTTATAATAAAGTTTAAAAGAGCAGTATTTATATGAAATAGAAATCTTTATAACATTATAAATGCATTTATTGTCACTATTGATCAATTTAATGTATCCTTGCTTAATAGGAGTATTCTCTTTTTTCAATAAATAAATAAAAACTGGCTTGCGTATTTCATATATTTGATTACATTTTATATATATATTTGTTCTAATTATAAAAAAATGAAGATTTGTATTAATATAAGTGTACTTTAAAATTACATTTAAAACATTATTATTTTAAGTTACAATACTAATACATTTCAAATGATTCACTTTCAAACTTTTTACACCCTCAAGCTTTTATGTTGTCGGCAAGCGTGTGTTTATTTGACACTTGTTGTTACAAATCTGATCAAATGCTGAAAAAATATGTCCACAAAAATTCTATGAATGTGAATGTAAAGTGGCCCCAAACATTTGAACAGTAAGGTAGTTTTACATTAAGATTATGTTGAGATGGTTCAATTCTGAAACTCAAAGTGCCTAAACCCCTTTTGAAATGCACAATGTTGCTAAAAAGTTTGAATAAACATAAATAAATAAATTCCAAGGTCACATGATCCTGAACACGGTGGACTGCACCAGACCAAACAATGGACGTCTTCCTCACGGCGTTGATGTGATGATGAGCGACTTCGCTGGCGGCGCCTCCGGTTTCCCCATGACCTTCCATGGCGGCAAATACACCGGTGAGTCACACATGACGCTTTAAACAGGTGCATTATGGGAACTGGCAACCGTTCAGGAAATGCATAATGCAATTTTTTACTGACAGAAAGCTGGAAGGCAGATTTCATCAAGAACGAGAGGAAGAAACTGTTAAAATATAAGACGCAGCTGGTGAAATCACTGCAGCCCAAGATCTACTGCCCGTTTGCTGGGTACTTCACTGAAGCGCATCCCTCTGACAGGTGAACACAACTCTTTCAGTGAGCTTTATCACAGCTAGTCAACATTTAACTACTGCATGCAACACACTGAAAACATCAGTCCGGTCAACATGAAATCATTAAAAACTGTGCATGTAAAACTGATAATATTACATTTAGCTGACTACATCTTTGCATTTTTAACTAGATTTTTTTTCCCCACACAGCTCATTTTATAATAGAACAGGGGTGTCCAACCCTGCTCCTGGAGGGCTACCATTCTGCAGTGTTTAGCTCCAACCCTGATCAAACACATCTGAAAAATCTAACAAAAGTCTTCAGGATTACATAAAAAAATTATATGGTGTTACATAAATTGCATTATATGATTGTTTAGGGATGGAGCTCAACCGTGCAGGACAGTGGACCTCAAGGGGTGGAACTGCCCACCCCTAAGAATGAAGACGAGACAGTTCAGAAATGTAAAAATACAAGAAATGTCTGTGCCTCAAATTTAGGACACTTAAGACATGTCATACATGCAGCATATTTGTTTGCATCAAATAAATCATAGAATTATTGATTACTTGGGCTGTTTTTTATACCCTAAAAGGGCAACGTGAGACACAACTCCAAAATCCAAAATATATTACAAAAATTCCTTTGAATTTGTTTGACTTAAGTCCAGATGATATAAAAAGTGACATGAAATGATTTTTTTGCTGATCATTTTTCACTCTTGCCTGTTTTAGGGTTAAATGATCAGAAGTTAAATGACGCTTAAAAATAGTCTTATATGCTCACCAAGGCTGCATTTATTTGCTCAAAAATTCAGTATAAAATGTGAAATATTAACTTTCTCCTGAGTGAATCTATTGTAAATTGTAATGTATTTCTGTGATGCGCAGCTGTATTTTCAGCATCATTCCTCCAGTCTTCAGTGTCACGTGATCTTCAGAAATCAGTATAATATGCTGCTCAAGAAACATTTCTGATTATCATCAATGTTGAAAACAGTCGTGCTGCCCAATATTTTTGTGGAAACTGTGATACATTTGATTCCTTGATGAATAAAGTTTATAATAAAGTTTAAAAGAGCAGTATTTATATAAAATATAAATCTTTTATAACATTATAAATGCATTTATTGTCACTATTGATCAATTTAATGTATCCTTGCTTAATAGGAGTATTCTCTTTTTTCAATAAATAAATAAAAACTGGCTTGCGTATTTCATATATTTGATTACATTTTATATATATATTTGTTCTAATTATAAAAAAATGAAGATTTGTATTAATATAAGTGTACTTTAAAATTACATTTAAAACATTATTATTTTAAGTTACAATACTAATACATTTCAAATGATTCACTTTCAAACTTTTTACACCCTCAAGCTTTTATGTTGTCGGCAAGCGTGTGTTTATTTGACACTTGTTACAAATCTGATCAAATGCTGAAAAAATATGTCCACAAAAATTCTATGAATGTGAATGTAAAGTGAATTACAGTTTAAAAGATATTCACATAGAAAACAACTATTTTAAATTGAAATAATATTTCACAATATTACTGTATTTTTCGTCAAATAAAATTCAGCCAAAACACATTTTTTTAAAAACGTAATTATTTCACTCTTTTGAATGTAGTGTATATGTACAGCCATCAAAGTATGAAATGTATGAACATGACTAACAGGTACATAAAGGAGACAAACATTAAGAACAGCGCAGCAGATCTGAATCAATCGATAAGGAAGCGCTGTCCGAACATCTTAACCTGGACTCCTGTACCCGGTTCAGTCCTGGATTTGGCCCTCGCGCTACATGACCCATCCAGCAGGTGCGTTCTCATGCTTTTTTATTAAACATCCCACAAGGAGAAAGCATTCATATGTAGCATTTGAGCGTGCTGATGCATCTTGAGTGCATGAAATGTATTCAAATTTGCAAGAACAGCATATGCCAAACAATATGCAAAAACCCTGAGAGTAGTGTTATATAAGTACCACTGAGATACTATTCAAGTTTATTATTATTATTTATTTTTGTATTTTCAGTTTTCGTTTTAATTTTAACTAAGTTTTAGTAATTGGTTAAGTGTGTTTTAATTTTTTGAATTAGTTATTGTTTTTTATTTGTCTATGTAATATTTATTATTTTTTTATTCATTTTAGATCACGTTAAACTAAATGAAAATGAGAAATGTTGCCTTGGCAACTGAAAGAAGTTTTTATTTAATTTTATTATTATTAATAATATTATGATTAATTATTACAATTAAAATGATTGATAATAGCATTTTGATTAATTAATATAAAGATTTTTTAAATTGTATTATTATTAATAACTTTATATTCATCAAAGGATCCTGACAAAAAATTATTAATATTGTGAAATATGTTTAACCTTTTTTTATATATATATTTTATTTCAATTAACAAAACTGAAATATTTTCTTTTAACTATGTTCAATTAATATTTAATTTTTTTTTATTACTTTTCATTTTTATTTTGGACAAAAAACGTGTAACTTTGATATAGTTTGGGTTTTAGTTCTAGTTTTAGTTACTACAGTATAACAATCCTGTAACAAGACATAGGCTGAATAATTATGCATTTCATAAATTCAAGTGATTATATGTAAACTATCTGTAATGTTTTTAGCCTTTTTGTATCGGTTTCATTTCCATTTCACATTAACTGTTCACCAGTTCAGAAATTGACTGCGCATCAACATGTTCATCAGCAGGTTGCATGTCAGAATTATGTTGTTATGATCATTTGTGATCCTGCAGCACAAAAGCAGTGTTAAGTCGCTGGGGGATATTTGTAGAAATAGCCAACAATACACTGTATGGGTCAAAATTATAGATTTTTCTTTTATGCCAAAATCATTAGGATATTAAGTAAAGATCATGTTCCTTGAAGATATTATGTAAATGTCCTACTGTAAATATATCAAAACAATTTTTGATTAGTAATATGCACTAGTAATAATAACTTTAAAGGTGATTTTCTCAATATTTTGATTTTTTTTTTTTGCACCCTCAGATTCCAGATTTTCTAATAGTTGTATCTCGGCCAAATATTGTCCGATCCTAACAAACCATACATCAGTGGAAAGCTTATTTATTCAGGTTTCAGATGAAAAAAAAATGTACCCTTATGACTGGTTTTGTGCTCCAGGGTCACATATGCATGAGTGTTATTCTGTTATTATTTCTTCCCGTTTTTCCATCAACATGATTTTCTTTTCTGGTTTTAATATCATAACCATAGGAGTGCTATCACTGAACCGCCCAACGGCACAAAGATCTATAAGGACAGTTGGGACTTTGACTTATATTTGGAGGAACTGAAAGCTTCCGTTTCAGCTGAAATCTTTAAATGCAAAAGCTGGATCCAGTACTATTATAACTGGGCAGGATTTAAAGGCTACAATCTGGTCATTCGGGTAAATCATATACATTATAGCCAAACTCCTGGTGGATTTCACACATAAAGCAGCTTCATGCACAAACAAACCCATAAACAGATGCATTAAACTCTAACTCTGAGTGGCATTGAACTAAACTTTAAACTCTAACTCTCAGGTCATTGAGACGGAGGATGATTTCAAGCCTCTGAAGGGAGGTTACGACTATCTAGTGGACTTTCTGGATCTTTCTTTCCCAGACGAGCGTCCGGAGAGAGATCACGCGTTCGAGGAGGTACAAACTGAGCAGGATGAGATGCACGCTCAAGTCTAATCCAAACTAATGAGTAAAATGTGTGTGTTTCAGATCAAGAATCGCGTTAATGTGATGAGACACGTGATTCTGAACGGGCAGCTGTGGGATGACCTGTACATCGGCTACAACAACAGAATGAGTCGAGATCCTGACGTTTATCACCACAAGTAAAATACACGCAAACAACATCATCACAATATGAAACAAGTGTGGAAATATCATGGCAAAATCTGTGACGTTATTCATTTACCGTGGTATTTACATGGTATCCCAAGGTACCGCAAAGCATATGGATGTTGAATATTTTTTAAAAGGTTTTTAACTATGGAAATCTGATGCAAATTCATATCACGTTCATGTGTATTAATACATTATTTTCATATGCATTTTTTTATTGGCAGACTCTGGAATCATTTTCAGATAGAATTGCCACTATTGCAAATATTTGTAAATATTTATATTTACTTTTATTTTTTTATTTCAGTTTTTAGTACTTTAATTTAGCCTTATTTTATCGCGGTTTATTCATTTTTAATTTTCAAAAACTTTCTAAAAAGTCACGTTTTTCACTGAACATTTATATTTAATTTTAGCTTTATTTCAATTAACAAAAACTATTTTTGATAGTTTTAAAACAATAACAACACTATATAACAAAATTATGACAAACATTTCTAGTTAGAGAAAAATATGTTGCAGTCAGACGAATTTTTATTCATGTACCATATTTACATGGTACAAGTTTTAACATGTTGCATGTTTTAAAAAAATTACACAAAGAAACATAACACAGATTAATAAAGTATGTTTTTAACTATGGAAATCAGATGAAAGTTCATGTGTATTAGATCTATAATATTATTTCGTATTGTTTCATATATCTTTTTTTTTTTTATTGCCAAATTCTGGAATCGTTTTCAGACAGAATTGCCACTGTTGCAATTATTTTTAATATTTAGCTTTATTTTTTTATTTCAATTTTTTAGTACTTTAGTACTATTTTGTTTCAGGTTATATTATTTTATTTTAAAATTTTAATTTTTTTAATGTTTTTAAGTTCAAGTTTTTCATTGAACGTTTATATTGTTCAGTGTTCAATATTTTTAATTTGATCTAGTTTAAAAAACAACAACAACACTTATAGACATTTTGCTAACGTGACAAACATTTCAAGTCAGAGAAAAACTTGTCAGGTACCCCAAGGTACTTCAAAAAATCAGGTTTTAACATAAAAAAAAATATTACAAAGATTCATAAAGTATGTTTTAAATTATGAAAATCAGACGCATTTCTAATTACGTGATGAAAACTATTTTTAATGACATGTCGCATACAGACCAATTTTCTTTATTTACCATGGTATTCACCTGCTGGTACCCCAATGCACTTATGTAAAGAATATGAAGGATTTCACATTTTGCATACTTAAAAAACCATCACACAGATTCATAAAGTATGTAGGTATGCAACCAATGTGGCACCATTCAGAGGCATTAACATCTCTGATGTAAACAGTGCTGGGTAGTAACTGATTATGTAATCTGGATTACATAATCAGATTCCAAAATTATATAGCTTTAAAACTTACAGTTCCTTCACGAACCCCAGTTTGGGAATCCGTGACGTCATGTAATATTTAATGCACTTGTTATTGGAATATATTTTCCTTTCTCTTGGAAACATTATCTGATTTAAATCGAGTTGGGTCAAAAGTGATCTAAAAGTAGTCTGATTATATTAACTAAAACGTGTAAAGCTAATGGATTTCGTAACTAACCACAATTTTATTTTTTACAAACTTGTAGCTCTGGATATAAATATCATTCCTCTAAGTCAGATGCTCTGTGAAAAAGCAGAAGTGAGCAAACCACTAACAGGAAACCTACCCTGCGGATGCCCTGAATGTTTACCAGTTGTACGAGGAGTGGCTTTTTTCTTGCAACATTTGTGGAGAATTTGTGATATTATCACACGCACACAATGAGCGCTTGTTGTCATAAACTCCTGCAGCTGCTTCAGAGTTGCTGTAGCTCTTGGTCTCCTCTCTGAGCAGGTTCATCCGGCTCTTTCATCAGTTTGGAGTGCCGTCCTGATCCAGGGAGGCTCTGTGCTGCACCAAATACCTTCCACTTCTTAATAATAGACTTCACTGTGCTTCTAGGCATTGATAAAGCCTTTGAAATGTTTTTGTATCCATCTGCTGCCTGTCCACAACTTTATCCTGGAGATCTTTTGACAGTGCCTTTGTAGCCCGTAGTTGATTGTTTGCTTCAGTTGCGCTACCAAGGACCGAAATGCTCCAGGAAAGCTCTTTTCATGCTGAGCTGATCAAAATGAGCACAGCTGAAAGTCAAATGGCTTTGTGTGCCATTGAGAAGGTGATTAGCTGCACCAGATAGAGTTTACAAGTCATTTTTAGGAGGGGCTGATCCTTTTTCCAACTCAGTGATTCTGTTTTTTGGTGTTTTATCTTTTACTTGGATGTTATACGTTGCACTGAGTTAATACAGCTGGGTAAAACAAAAACTGTGTCCGTCTTCATTTCAGGCTACAAAGCAACAAAATGTGATTATTTTAAAGGGGCTGATTCTTTTCTATACCCACTGTACCACTTATAAAACAACATTAACCCACTGATAGATGATGTAAAAGTGTTGTTCACTGTTACGTCATGTTAACTATTAACTACACTTTACAAGAAAAGTCTGGAAAGTATGGAAGCTTGTTTCCAACACGGAGTAAAAAAAATATATAAAATTGTGACTTTTTATCTGGCAATTCTGAGTTTACATCTGACAGTAGCTAGAAACTTTACATTTTTTCTTCTGAATTCTGAGTTTACCTCTCGCAATTTATTAAATTTTTTATTTGAGTGAGTTTACATCATGCAATTCTGACTTTTTTTCTCAGAATTCAGAATTTGCATCTCGCAATTGACATATTTCTTTATCAGATTTCTGAGTTTACGTCACACAATTCTGACAATTAATTTTTTTTTGGAATCCCGAGAAATTTATATCTTGCAATTATCAAAAAAATTTGACTTTTTTTCTCTGAATTCAAAACAAAGCTTCTATAGTAAAGGGCCCACTGTACTGTGTTACTATGAATTAACGGAAAATGTCCTGTCAGAAAAACACTAGTACTGTTTCTGTTTTCTACAGTCGTTTTTCTTAGTGTACAAAATTAAACCTCATTGGCTGGTGTGAAGATGCAGGAAACGGCATAATTTCACACTTAATTTCAACAGAGAAAATTATCGAGGTGTGTCTCCGCTCCTGCAGATGCTGCAGACTAGACACATGTGAAGAAAACCTGTTGTAAGTGTTTAAAACAAGAAAGACACTCCCTTCCCCAAAACCACTTTACTTCATATCTGTCACTTCCTTTCACAGGAAACTCCACCTGCAATGCACCTCAGAGCAAGTCTCCTCCTGATCTCTCAAAGTTTATATTGAGCCCAGAAAGCTTTTCTTCACTTCATACACAATTACATTCGTCTAAAATCGTCCCCTTGGAATTATAAGGTTCTATCTGCATTCCGAGTAGTTTTGAGATGTTGAGCTTCAAAGTTTTTGCATTCCATTGGACTGTGCAGATAGAACCTTTTTGTTTTGTTTTTTTTAAATAAAAAGTCCCAAAATGTACACAAGATTAAAAAAAAAATATCACAATGTAAATAAGCGGTCACAGAATAAGAATATGTGAATAACTCAATTTTGAAAAAAATGTCAGGTAGAACCTTATAATTAATTCCAAGGCGATGAAATGTCTGAATGTCATCGCTGTAACGGGTGTCTGTACTCAAAACGCTTTTGTTGATGTCAGGAGCTGATTATGTGGCATGAAACCACGAACAAAACTACTCAAGATAACAAAAATAAGCATTGAATAGGATGATCATGGTTTACGACAAACGCATTGCTTTGTGTAGTGAATTTCCTTCTCTTGAGAGAAACCACTGAAACTCAGCTAACATTAGGAACACTGAACCTGCAGACAGTGAATCATGTTTCTGTGGAAGCTAATTTCTGCCTCAGAATAAAAACACACAAAAAGGTCACTGCGACTTTTTCTCCCACAGCTGTGAGTTTATATCTCACAATTCAAACTTTTTCCTTAAAATTGCAAGTTATAAATTCAGAATTGTGAGGGTTTTTTCTGAATTCAGTGTTTACATCTCACAGTTGTTTTTGTGCCACAGAATAAAATAAAGATAATTTCAACTTTTAATCACAATTCTAACTTTTTTCTTCAAACTGCCAATTTATCTCTTGCAATTCTAACTTTTTTCCTCAGAATTGCGAGTTTAAATATTGCAATTGTTACTTTTTTTTAACATTTACATCTCAGAATAATCTTTTTTTTTTGTTTGTTTCCACGACGGAATTCGGAGTTTACATCTTGCAATTCTGTTTTTTGTTTATTTGTTTCCGGCATGGAATAAAAAAAAGGTTACTGCATCTTTTTACCTTGCAATTCTAACTTTTGTTTCTTCGAATTCTGAGTTTATATCTCGCAATTCTGACCTTTTTTTTTTGTTTCCACAATGGAATAAAAAAATAAAAATGGTAATTGCAACTTTTTTAGCAATTAACTTTTTTTCTAAGAACTGCGAGATCACAATTACATTTCTTCGATTTTTATTCCGTGGTGAAAATAAGCTTCCATAAGTCTCCATTGTTGAAGCATTTACAAAAAATTACAAATTTTCCAATTTTGTTCCTTACGATTCTGGTTCCGTTTTGGGTCACCGCTAATACAATACAACATAAAACCTTGGTTCTGACGCAAAACTAGCTGAGAAACACTGCGAATGCAATGACATTTAGACATTTGTCAGAGTGACTCAAGTGTTTTTGTGCTGTTGCATTTATCTTTTGAGCAGCAGACAGCTATAACCGTATAAATAACTCTGTGTGTGAAGGTTATAAATGGACTCGACTGGGACCCTGCGCTGTCATCCTGCGGCTCATTCTGCCTGGCGGTTGTGATCATCAGACTCATATCAGTCCCGCTCATGTTTGCCTGTGCTTACTGCCTACAGCGCTGTTATAAGCTGTTTGCATATGAATGAAACATCTTGATCTCACTCATAAAACAAAGTCCACATTCAGCCAAAGTCACGTTTCCACTGGGACAGAGAGGAACATCAACGCATCTTTATCCCAAGCAACTTCCAGTTTCCGCCTCTTATTCCTCGCCTCCTACACACTAAAGTCTAATAAATGCCTGAGATTCATTCAGGTGTTATAA